GATATAAAAGATATTGCAAAATTTGTAATCTATGAGGATATTGCTGTGTCTCTGTAGAGTACAACCTGTTCTCACTTTGCAGATCTACCACTCCTGTCAATGTGGATCTGACCACTCACAGATTTATATTCATAACCCAGACAGACAAAGCAGACTTTGGCAAAGAGAATAGAACACAGCCCTAAACGTACGCTGTGTGTCATCACCTACTGTGAGTTCTAGATTTTAATATGTTTTACTGATAATCCATTTTCCTATTCTAGCTATGAGCCATTGCAAGCAGTACCTTATCACATAAGCAGTACCCCAGAATAGTTACCAGGGGCCTATGTGGTGGGGGCAGCAAGCAAAGAGCGAACAAACAGAGTCTTGCTACAGCACTAGTGAACATAAATTGCTACTGTGTGATTAAATAGCAAAAGTTTGTATGTAATTCCTGCCAGGTGATTGCCCTGAAGATGTTATTCTTCAGAGATATTCTTGGGCTCCAACACTGGCAAAGTCTGAGTTTTTCTGAAGGCTGCTCTGCTTACTAGAGGCGGGCACAGATTTTTTGGTATAATCTAATACAAGCTGTTATCCAGCAGTATGGTCTCTGTGTGGAGACAGCTATTTTGTGGGAAAATCATCCCTGGACCTCAGCGGAAAAAAAATGGCAGCCAAATATCTGACAAAATTGAGTTGATTCAGTAAAACAAAAAAGCTCCAAAACAATAAAAACTCCTTAATAATTGTCTTGTTCACATTAAAGGGTGATGCTACTGACACCAACTCTCTGAGAATAAAAAAAAAGCAACCAAACACCTGCAATGAGTAATGACAGTTTGAAGCTGAAAGCTTTCTTCAATAAGTAGACAGAATGACCAAATTTTGCTTACAATTGAAGGAAGTACAGGATCTTTGATTGGAAAAAATATAACAGCCTGCATGAACTTGTCAACAGGAGTACTTAACATTAATAAAATAAGTGCTGCATTTAATAGCTACTGATGGATGGGTTTTATTTCTATTAATTCTCTACCCTTTTACAAATCCCATTATACCTCTTTCCTTCCTAACTTCCTGTGGCAATAGTTTCTACAACTTAATTATAAGCCCTGTAATACAAGTTGAAAAGGTATTGTTGAAAAGTTGGTTTAGACCTACAGTTTAATAATGCAATGATCTATGTCTGCATTGTCATGCTTTGAGAAACAAGGAGTATTTCCTTTTTCACATCTTCAGAGCAATTTCGCAAGATGCAACATGTAAACAGACACAACATTTTCCTGAAGCATTCAGCTCAGAACACTAACTCCTGAAGAGCCTAACAATATTGCCAGACATAACCTTTTTTAAAAAAAATTACTCTTCCTAAAGGCTCACTAATCATTCTTAACTCAAGTACCGTATTAAGAAGCAAACAAATAGATGAAAAGAACATAACAGGCACACCAAGCTCCTGAAGATCTGTGGAACTGTGACAGACAGGAGGAAAACAAATTAGTTCAGCAAGGTACTGAATAGACTTAATTTCAAATTTTACTGGCTTAATACCAATTTTGATTTCCTTCGCATTAACCATAATTTATTTTTGTTACTGAAAACAAACCATAACTCATCTGTGAAAGTTTACTATAGATTTTTGAATTACCAGTAATGCATTTAAGATAAATAAGTTTAATTTCAAGTTTTTTCAAGTGTTTTATAATACCAACATTAATTTTTAACAAATTAGATTATATTGACTTTTAAAATAAGGCCTCCTCTGGAAGACTTATCATTTAAACAATTTTCAGGAACCGATTTTCTACTTAAAGCTAATTCTCCTGTGAGTCTATGGAAAACAAAACAAATTCTGATCTATGGGAGCTACACTTTGCAATATTGTCTGTATACAAGCTGACCTATAGACTCATTTGCAAGGACTAACTGGGGATTTTTTTGTCCATTCTTTGAATTCTTTTGAAGAGGAAGTTGTACCAGCTTATCTAAATTAAATTATATTTTACAGGTTTGTGGAATGTACTGTATGCTTCTAGTGATTTACAAGACACTACCAAACTCACTTCACCTGCACTAGCAACTAGACTGGAAAAAAGAATAGAAAACTGTAATGACAGTGTTTTTATTTCAGTGCACTTGTACCACTTTGCAATGCCTCAAATTATATTTCAAAAGGTAAATTATTATGTAGTATAATGTCTGACTACCTGAAAAACAGAAAATAAAAGGTGAAAATGGACCTATTATAGATTTTTCACCTACATGCCTTTTCAAAAACTCTAAGTCAGTTATTGTTACTTTTAAAATGCCACAATTTTAATTTCATTAAATATTTTAGAATTAGGATTTGAAAAACAGGATTTTTCTGCCATGGAGTCAACTCCTGAAGTAAAGTCAAAATATAAGGGACCTTTCCTATGGCACTAATGGCTCTGCCTGTTTGATCTTTCATCACTTTCAGTAATTAAGAAACAGTAAAATGCTAATTAACTTACTTTAATTGATAACATGAGAAAACACAGCTTTCTAGTATTATCCCTAATCATGCTCCAAATGGATCAAATAAAGATAATTCATTCAGCTATGAAAGCACAACTACAGAATCACAGAACATATTGCCTATCACTCTTCTTATCTCAGCCCATGGCAATACTGCTTGTCTGATTTAATTGCAGCTGGAAAGGAAATACCACACAGCCACTTGTTCACTCCAGCCTTCCCTGTCAGGGGCAGGGAGGGGAATTAGAAACAAAAGGTAAACTTCATTGGTTGAGAAACAGCAGCTTAGTAATGGAGAGGAAATAAAATGTAATGCTAATAGCAATAACAGAAATTAATACAATAATATTCACTCTACCATCTTTGTTACTGTTATCGTTGTTGTTATTACTGAAAAGAGAAATAGAGGAATAAAACTCCAGAATGGCGAGTGATGCACAATAAAACTGCTCACCATCCATCCCCAAGCAGTGATCAGTGCTCTCCAGCCAGCTCCCTGCAGTTTACACACTGAGTTTGACATTCTGTGGCATGGAATATCCCTTTGGCCAGTTGGGTCAGCTGTCCTGGCCATGCTCCTTCCTGGATTGTTGTGCTCCTTCTCACTGGCAAAGCATGGGAAATGGGAAAGTCCTTGACAAAGGGTAAGCACTACCCAGCGAAAACTGAAGTATCACTTTGTTATCAACCTAATTCTCATTCTAAAGCAAAAAACCACAGCACTGTACCAGCTACAGGAAGCAAATTAACTCTATCCCAGCCAAGACCAAGACACACAGCAAAAAGCTCTGGGACGACTGTCACATCTTCAAATTAAAAAAAAAATGCACATCTGAATTTCTGAGATTTCTATCAGTATTTCTATCAGTATTTCTATCAATAAAGTAATCTAACCAGGTTTACCACAGAAAACTGAGGATCATTGTACAGTCTTCTGTGTCCATGAGTGATTCACTAACCTGCAGGCTTATCGGTATTCTCAATGCACTTTGTCCATTTGGCCAGGAACACCCACTAATGTTAATGAAAAGTTCCAAGTCTTAAAGAGTTTGAATGTATAGCAGAGTTAATTTCCTAAAGCTATAATTTAGGATATTAAATTCCCTTTTTTTTATCAAAATTGACACTTAGTTTCAAAAATTAAGGCAAATATGTTAATAACATAGAACAATGTAAAGTAACCCTTGAAGTTACCTTCTATTGCAATCTCTTTCTGATATTGCCACAGAAATGAATGAGGAATACTGAAACATGAATAACATTCTTATCACTTATATGAATTACAGCGCTAATATCAGCAATATAAGTACCTTCTTAAGGACACAGGTCAATAAAAGACAGTACACACACTACTCCTCTGTATCACTTGAAAGTGATAGCTGGTTTTAGCTGTAGATGTCTATAGCTTTTGGACATCAAATTGTCTCCTTTGTTCTAGATATTTTGCTTCAACAGAGACGCAACAATCTATTTTGGTTTCTCAAACTGACATAATTCAGATTTTTTCAATAAAACAGGAACTATATTGACTGCAAGAGAAAAAAAATATGTGGACATATTTCACAGTGCCCATGCTATTAACTAAGGGTGCACTGAGATCAAATTCAAACCCTTGATTTGAATTGCAGCTGTCAAGTACTTCTCAAGCAGTTACTACACCAGAGCAAGAATCATTATCTAAATTAACTGAGTCACAATCTGCCATATTGTCTGAGATCTCCCAGGGTCATTCACATGTTAGAATGGGAAACCAGGGATTTACCCTCCCACCTGCATGCCTATTCTACTCTGCACCTGGGAAAAAGAAACCTTTTCAAGCAAGCATTTTCTTCAAAGTAATACTGTTCCCACAAAAACTTTTTATTTACACCTACTGGTAATTTATTTCCACCCAGACCCAGTAGGAAGCTCTATCTGTCAGAGTAAACCAAGTCTTGAAGTACTCTAGAGTCTACTATTGCTACAATGGGTTTTTTTTCCTGATAGAATAATTTACTCAAAATCAGTTGCACCATATTCCCTAAAGATGCCTACAAACTACAATGAAGACAGTAATCTATGAGGGTTCTTTTTTCAATAAAATAAAATAAAATAAAATAAAATAAAATGAAATATCAAAGATGAGATCCACAAACAAACAAATAAATAAACAAAAGCCTAAAAGCAACCAACTTGCCCACCGCAATGCAAAACAGCAGCTGGAGTTTCTAAATGAAAAATCATAGCCCTGTAATCTCATTGAAAACTGCTGTACAATTACCTGCCTTGATTTGTGGCAGAGATATTCTCAGTAAAAAGCATTACTTGTATCCATGCACATTTCACAAGAGAGTGAGTAGTTTTGTGTAACATTTCTCCTCTCATTAAAAAACAGACAGGTACAATGCTGACATCCTTGCTAGTAACAGACAGAAAATGCTAGAAATTACTCGTTGTCTAGGATACTGATTTAAAATACATTAAAAAAGCTGTGCCATTCCTATAAAGACTTTGAGACTTAGGCTTAAAATACTTACTTAATAATGTCTCCTTCAAGAGCAATCACTCGTTTAATGATCTTCTGTTCAGGATTTCTAGGAGACCTGAGACAGGAGATAAGGTTACACAATCAGTACCATTCCCATTGTTTTAAGAAGATGAAAGAAATAGACACTATATAAGTCATTAGATGATTCCATGTTCTCCTTGTGTTAGCATCAGTCACACTGTTCTAAAGGGAAGTGAGGCTACTGCAGTCCCTGTCACTGCAAACCATCACTGAAAGCAGTTGATGACTTCCTTGCAAACAGCACAATAATCAACACACCTTTGATCATGAAAAATACACTCCACAACACTAAAAGTAAAGCATCCCATGAACCAATGGGGAAGGTACCTTTGCAAATAGATTAATGTATTAAAACCTGAATCCCCCACCATTTGTTGGGAAAATGAGTTAAACATTTATGTCTTTCAATCAATTTGGGAGAAAAAAAATCTTCCTATGTTATATTAATATCTATCACTAATTTAGGTAAGCCTTGCCTAGGGAATTGTGGAAGTTTAAAAATAAAAGTTGCAAAAATTTCTGAAAGTTGCAGCTTCTGAATGCATTGTTTTTCATTTATTTCTCCACAGCATCTTTAATTGAGTAGATTCTGATCATACATTATATAATAATATGAGAAAGCAAAGATGAACTTGCATGTACAGCCTGAATATCCCAACTTCCTGGATGCATATTATTAGATAGACTATTAAAATTGTTATTCTACTGTAGTTTTGACAGGGTAATGTAGATATATATTCACCATAAATTTTCATTTTCTTTATACTTTACCTTTTTTCTTTTAATCTTCACTTTTAATTATCTAAGTATGCAAACTTAGAAGAATATCTTCATGTTATTAAAAAAAAATTCTTTTTGTTTGCTGCTTGTACACAGAAAAGTCAGGGAAAGAACAAACTTTTTCTTTTCTGTTGATGCTTGGGTTCTTCCAATTAAGGTTTCAAGTACAATCTGCTAGACACACCACTTACAGAGGTGTATATTACAGTTTTCATGGCTAAAACCATCTTTGAGCTCATCTCTGGTCAAATGGTAAGATTACACTTCTTTAAAAAGCAAAGCTGAGCTAAGTCTGGATGAAAAGCTTGCCCACACTGCTGCATGACTAAAGGCATTTGAGGTTCACTTCGAGTTCCAATAGTTAAAATAAAAAATGAGTTCCGATTTATTTGTTTATTTTTTAAAATATTATTCCAAAAAAACCCAAATATTTTAAATTTAGTTTGAGGTTTTAATATTTTTTCTTGTGTGTGCATGTCAATACATTTGAAATAAATTTCTCCTTCAAAGTAATGAAATAAAATTCAAGAAGCCTAATTTTGAATTTGAAAATGTCAAATAGCTTCCCTTTACATTTTACCAAGCCTGGAAACCTATTTTCAACAAGCAATGAGAAACACTGAACATGAATAAAGGCCAAATATTTATTCCCTCGTCATCACTCAAATTTTCAAATCATTATGTAATTTACAGTAATATTTTATTTAGCATCAATTTTGCATGAATAGTTGCATATTCCAGCTCAACCTTGCATTTCATGTTCCTTCTTAAGGCAGGAGCACACAGTTTCATCATATTTTATATGTCAGTCTTGGGAGGAATTAATCAAGTTTTAGATGTTTGTATGATTTAAATATATGGAATATCCACAGCACTTTCTGATGCTGCTCCTTGCAAGTAACATTTACTTCATTGAGCACTCATTTGAGCATTGACCATGTCCTATTCTCAACCAAAGCACAGTCTATGAAAAGACAACACATCTTTATTTTAGGCTGTTATAAACTTAAAATATTTTTTAATTACTTTACTGCTAACTGATTTAAACGTCAATCTATTTAAGCTCAAGCTGTAATATTTCCCATGTAAAATTTAGGTAATGGAAATGATAATACATAATGTATGTGATGAAATGTGCATTTCTTAAAGATTGAATGAAAACAGATTTTATGTTTTTACTTTCAAAATTCTGTTCTGTTTTGACACCTCACTTTCAAAAAAAGGTTCTCAGCAACTTCCCAGAAGGCATCTCCACTTGATTAGAATATATATATTGTAATGCAACTATTGATCTCCCTTAATCTTCTGTTCTCGTGCAAAAATTTCTACTGACCTTGGAAAAAAATCTCTCTAAATTTGAGGTATGGGTAGTTATTCTAAGAGAAGTTACATGGTTACATGGCTAGCAATGACATATTTAAATCAAATACAATCCATCAGAAAAACTTCAAGGAATTTCTTGCAGATATTATTACGAAAGAGTAATATTTTTAATATTAGAACCAAAACATTTTTTAAATAAATTTCATACTAACATTCTGATTATAATTCATCAAAATGGCAAAGGACTGGTAAAAGACAGATGAGCAGGCTCAAAGTGGCCAATAATACAGGCACTTTTAGACCAAGGATTTTCAGGAGCTGAGCAGAATGTTTTTTTCCAAGAGCCAGGAGGTAAGGGAGGCTGGTTCTGAAGTGATGGATGTCGATGCCTTCCTGAATGGTTATAGCATAAGCCTGGGATCTAACTGAATATTGAAATCACAAAAAACACACAGGCCATTTCTGTCTTCTACATTCAATCCTGCAGAGAACAGTGTCGGATCACACTACCACAAAGCACATTTCCCAGGAAAAACAGGAAATTATATAGCCAGCAGAAAAATCCACTCTTTAGCAAGTGATTGTCAGGTAGAAATGGTGACAATTCCCCAAAAGATTTCTCTTTACATATTTAGCAACTGAGTATTTCAGTCAATATTACTCCTAAACCTCTCCCTTTCAACCACTTGGATTATTTACTTATTCTAGTGGATACTGCCCAATTTTAAATAATTGCTTGATGAGCTAATTAACATTTGATCAAACAAAAAATTTTCATAACATTTCTTGGTTTTGTATGTGTCATTTGAGTTTTCTTTCGTTCTTTGAATTTTCTAAGTACATTCTTCTCAAGAACCTCCACAGCAAATCATCCTAAACTTCCATGTCTGCTGGCTTTTCTAGAGACAATGTTTTTAGAAAATGTCCTAAGATCCTCGCAAAATAACAGAAGCACTGTCTAAATAAATAAATACTACAACACACAATAAAACTTTTTTCCTTGAATAAACACTCAGAGGGTTTTTTCGTACCTGCATTAGAAAGAGACCTGATTCTGTGAACTCAATGAAAACGCAGACAATATATTTCCAAGGGATAGCTTCAGTTAGATACTTTAATGATCTACATGTGTTTAATGTTACTCATCCATTATCACAGACAACCTGGAAAAATTCTGTGCTCACTCTTTGAAAATTGTTGGAATTTTTATACCAATTTAGGATCTTCTAGAACAGAACTAATAGCAGGCATTTATTAAAAAGTTGCAGAGAAAAGTGCCTAAAGTTTTTAATTTTTATATGAATATATCTATTTATTCATGTATATGCATAAGTATTTATATTACTGTTAGAAAATTGTTTAACTTTTTATGAGATAGAAGCAAGAGGTTTAGGCAGCAGCCACAAAGTTTGTCTTCAGATTATTCTCAGTTTACTTCAGATTGAGTTTCATGTGACTTGATCATCATTTAAATGGTGGCAATGGAAGAAATTAGGACTGTGTTGTTGTAGTATAAACAGACTGAAACAATGAAGACCATCGTCTTCAAAATTAAAATTTCTGCTTCTATTTATGCTTTTAATGCCAGATACATAAATGGATTTAACTCCATAAAATAGGATAAGAGAGAATTTTTGAGATCTCAGCCTAACATTGTGATCCAAAGCCATTCACTCAGTGAGCTCTTCATTTCTCAAAACTAATTCCTCTCTCATAAAAAATTCTAGCATAGCTGGAGTCTACACTTCTGGGAATTTCCAAGATTAATGCCAGAGGGAAAATATGCTGTTTGTCTCTTTCTCAACCCATTTGGGGATCCAATAAATAGCTAGAAGAGTAACTAAAATGTAGATGGAGTCCAGAATAAGCGGCATTAATATATCTAACGAACTGAGAACCTCACAGTATGGTTTTGCTGGCTCTACCTAAAAAATATGCTTGAAGGAGGAGGAAAGAGAAGCAGTGGAGCTACCTCAGTCTTATCTTCTGTTGCTTATCCTTGCTTCCTGTTGCCAGTATAGTAGCTGATGCTCAAACTCTGTACAGAAGTAAATATGTAGCAATATCCACTCTTTCATTCCTTCTAGCCCCATAGCTACGATAGAACAGATCCAACATAGACAATTCTAAATACTGTGTAAGAATGGAAATTTACTTAATATATGCACATATTTCCTAAACCAAAATATTTTTAATCTGCCTAACTTTTTTCTCAGTCCCTTTCATCTATATTCCACACTTCTTTATGCAGATACAGAATCTCATAATAAATGTAATATCTAATTACATCATAGGTTATGACACAATTTCTATATTGTGGCAACTAGTATGCAATTTAACAGTGAAGAAAATCTCCAAGGTTATAACACAATTTCTATATTGTGGCAAATAGCATGCAATTTAACAGTGAAGGGAAAAATAATTATAAATTTTATTCTTGCTTTTTTTCTCATTCCTGTTATCAATTTCTCTTATACAGAATTACTGCAATAAATGTATCCAGTACCATGTTTAGTATTTGTGTTCAGTTTGGACCCACCAGTACAAGAAAGGCATTCACAACTGGAAAAAGTGGCACCAAAATAATGGTAACAGAAGAGCAATGTAACACACTGGCTAAGGAAATCAGGTTTGTGCAGATTAGAGATTAGGCAAAAGGTTCAATTGCCATTGTCATCTATCTAACTGGTGATTGGGAATTCAGAAATTTTGGAAAGCTATGCAGCAAAAGCGATTGGCAAACAACATGAGCTGCAGCAAGGGAAACTCCAGTGGTGCAGTTTGACCTGAGAGGCTGAGGACTACAGCCATACTTAGAGCTCAATGGGACACAGGTTTGGGCAGTCTGACCCAAATTCAGAGTCTCACCTGCCTTGAGTGGGTGGTGAGATTAGGCAGCCACTAGAGGTGCCTTAAGACATAAACTACTTT